TAGATATCAAACTTTTCTCTACCTTCCACATCTAAACGAATGGTCAAACAAAATGAGACAATCAAATTTTGAAATAGTATTTACAATGTACTATCAATTACAAATAAGATGATTCAACCTTGTATTTAATTTTAGCAAAGTTTTCTTATAATAATATTCTTTTACTTTAACTCAATAAACATCATTTTATGCTAATTATGATAACCATCTAAAGCTTGATTTATTAAATACATCAAAGGCTGTAAACTTCATAGCTGAAGATCTTATAAAATAATTGTCAAAATTCTAGACAACTTTGAAGCTCTTTTTATAAGCAACTTAAGATTCTTACAAAGCATCTTTAGAGAAATTTAGAAAAAAATCCTTACTTTTTAAGTTAGAAATAAAGTATAGCTTCTTTGACAAAATATCAAGATAAATCAGCCTTGAGATAAGTTGGACTAGCAAAGATTGGGGCCACTTTTTATTCAAAAGTAAATCAATCTAGTGACTTATTAATTGGAACTATCCACATCCATGAAGGTATATCCAATATTTCATATTTTTTTCTTAGAGGTATATTTAGAATCAACTATTCTAAGAAGAATGAAACCATTACTACCTTACATTAAAACAAAAAATCATGTGGAATATGGGGTAGAAAAGGTCTTTGATTCTTGGCAAAGAAGAAGCAAGTTGGAGTATTTATTCATTAGCACAGCTACAATATCAATAAGAGTATAAGAGAACTAACAAAAAATTTAGTTAATTCTTTGCAAAAGATATAAGAATTTCATCAATGCTATTCTCAAAAACCTAAATTTATTTAAAGATGACTTTTCTATGAAGCTATTGCTACAATGTTGCATATAAAGAAGAGAGCAAGTATTGCTCATAGCAACCTTAGAGTTTATGATTCAATATATTGATTGGAAAGTTTTTAAAAAATCTTTAGATCATGAATCTCAAAGTAAAGCCAAAGTTGGAGCTTTTTTTATCACTGCTATTAGATCAACCATTCCAACTCTTGAAAGATCATCCTCGAGATAAAGTTAGATTTTCTTGAGGAAAAAAAATGGTGATGCTATAATCAGCTCAAATAAGAAAACCTTAAAATGATACTTGAGCTTTCGTCATTCTTTTGCAAATATCAAATCCATGCTCTTCATGGAACTCAAAGTTAGAAAGGGAGGTGATGTTATAGACATCTAATGAGAAGATTTTAGAAATATTTTTAGAATAATTTATATGATTTTAAAATTTTTTAGAATATTTTTGGAATATTATAATAGAAGATTTTAGAAATATTTTATAAATATTATAGAAAGTTATATGAGGTTCTCAAAAAAATTCAAAAGTTTCTATAAATTAAATTTTTAGGATGATAATTTATCTTTAAGCAATATAAAAATTTCTTCAAAAGCTTCCTAAGGTTGCTTTAACTTCAAGCAATATGAAAACTTCTTAAAATGCTTCTTAAGATTGCTTTGTGTTCAAGCAACATGGGCATTTGTAAAAAAGCTTTTTAATATCTAATATATATTAGAGTTAAGGCTAAGAGGATCTTGAGTCTTAACAACACATCTCTTGGAGCTCTATCCCACATTTCTTGGTATTATTCTTATACTCATGTGCTTTAATTAAGTTCTTATTAGATTTTTTATTGAAATTCTTTTGTTCAACTTCTTGTTTGATCTTTTGTATAATGTATTTGTGACATCTTTGATATTGTCTTTGAATCCATATTAAAATTAATTAGTAAGGACTTTGTCATTCCAATCTACATTACAAACAAAGTTTTAAAATTTTGAAATTTATGCTGTTGCTAAATGTGATTCTTATTGTAAAAATAGGAAAATAGTTGGCTGACTTCTTATTCAAAGATAATGTGCTTCATGAACTTTGATCTGCCATATTAGTCATCGATAAGCTGCTATTTTCAAAAAACATGTTCAATATTAATAATATCCCTCAAATTACATTGTCTACTATTACAAGAATAAAACATTATCATGTGTTAATACAACTATATGGTGAAAGATAAAAATATGCATTTTTTTATAAAATATCCTAATAAAAAGATATAGTAGCAAAACATGGATAAATGATAAGAAGGTAGTAAAATTTTTTAATGATATTGCTACCTTTTTATAAAAAAATACTTCTATTTATTTTATAAGGCCATAAATAAGACTAAATAAAGTAGATTAAAAAAATGAATCATATAGACATCTTTTGGAGGGAGTGAAGAATAGATTTTAGCAAAAATTACTTCAAAATATTAAGAATTCATACCTAAAGAAGATGAGTTACGTATTAGGATCAAAATCAAATTCTAAGGCACAAAACCATGTACCTGTAGTAATTTCGAGGTTCTTTTGCTGATTAAAGAGTACAATTAGAGAGAGGACTTAAGAAGAGTTGTTTGAGCATTAGTTTTAAGTACTTTGAATATTTTTATTAAATTTTTGAGGGATTTTGAAAAATAGAAATGTACTCAATGGTTTTGGATTATGAAAAATAAAAAGAGATTTATAAATTTGAGGATTGTATAGGTATTATAGCAATTTTATAGATGAAATTTTGTGAGTTTGTTATTTTATTTATTTTAAATATATTTTATATATTTCATGTCAATCAAAGTAATAGATTAAAGGATATGAGAGTTTTATTGGATTAGGATCTCAAAAATTTGAAATTTAGGATCATTGAGAGTTTTTGCATTCTTACAAAAATCTGCTTATTAGATTGAAGAAAAATTTGATGAAAGAAATTCGGACTTAATTATCTATATATCAACCAATTTGTAAAGCAATTGAAAGGTTCAACAAAGAAAAATTAATACTAAAGAATCAACATCTAAGTTGGAGAAAGAAAGCAGCTGATATCCAAGAGTTTTAGGAGCTTTTTCTCTCAATTGGTGAATTTGATTTTTTTCAAATTTTATATTCTTATTAATTATTTATGGATTAGAATGTAAATAAATTTTTAATTAAGATTAATAATTTGATTAATAGTAATTAAGATTTTAAAATGGCAATAGGAATTAGTTAGGATTTACTTAGGATTTTATTGGGCTTATTTAGAATTTGTTGAGGATTTCATTAAGATATAATTAGGATTTGTTTAAGATTTGATTATAAATTTAGGATTTGATTAAGATTTAGAATATGATTAAGATTTAATTATGATTTTGATTAGGATATAGAATTTGATTAAGATTGAATTAGGATTTTGATTAGGATTTAATAAGGATTTTGATTAGAATTTAATTAAGATTTGATTGGAATTTTATTAAGATTTTTTTAGAATTTTATTAAGAAATTTTCTAAAATTCTATTAGGAGTTATTTAAGATTTATTAGGATATATTTAAGATTTATTAGGATTTCATTAAAGTTCTTTTAGGATTTATTTAGGACTATATTAAGATTTAATTAAAATTTACCTAGAATTTATTTAAGATTTATTTAATATTTCTATTTTAAATATTTTAAAAGAATTGTTTATTATTTTTTAAGATTCATTATTATTTCTTTAAGGTTTTTATTTTAGTATTTCTTTAAGATTTCTTTATTATTATTTTTTAAGATCAATTTATTACTTCTTTAAAAAAAATTAGTAATTTCTTTTAAACTTTTTTTAAATTGGTTAAAATTTGATTGGATTTGTTAAGATTTAATTAGAATTTATTGAAGATTCTATTAGATGTGTTAGAATCTTATTGTTGTACTTTACTATTTATCTTCCATAGGTAAGTACTGGGTGCACTTGTAAGCTAGAATTAATATTATATGTCAATGCACCTCTGAATTAAAAGCTAATAAGCATGCTCTTGGCACTTTTTATTAGTAAATTCTTATTAAGAAGCAATTATCTAGCATTTATTCAAGACTTTATTATAATTTCCAAAGCTTACAATGCTCCAAATATATATTGTATTGTCATATTTTGTGAAGTTTGCTGAAGAATGCATTGGATACCCGGCTATGGAAGATAAATAGAACTTGTAAGAAGAAGATCCTAACAACTCTAATAGAATCCTAAATAAATTCTAATTAAATTATAATAATGTTAATCAATCTTTAATTAAATTTCAAAAGAGTCTTAAAGAACTTATAAAAAAAACATAAAGAAATCATAAATCAACCTTAAAGATATATATATATATATATATATATATATATAATAATAAAATCTTAAAGAAATATCAAAGAAATTTTAAAGAAATTTTAATAATAGAATTTCTAATTGAATCATAATCAAATCCTAATATATTCCTCAAAAAACTTTAATGAAACTCTAAACCCTAACCAAATCTTAATCAAATTCTAAATCCTAATCAAATCCTAATCAAACTTTAAATCTTAACCAAATCCTAGACCAAACCCCAATCAAATCTTAAATCTTAATTAAAACTTAGATCAAATTCTAACCAAATTTTAATCAAATCTTAGACCAAATCCTAACCAAATCTTAAACCTTAACCAAATCCTAGACCAAATCCTATCCATATCCAAAATCCAAATCAAACTCTAAACCAAATCTTAATGAAATCCTAATAAATCTTAATCCTACTCTAATCATCTAAAAAAAATCTTGATTTTACAAAGTTTTTATAAAGTCATTACAAACTCAAATCCTTCAAAATTAACGCTCAAAGAAGCTTAACCTTGTCTTCTCTCAAATCTCACTCTTGACTATGCCAAAAAGCGCTCGAAATGGTATAGGTTTAGTTTTGCGACTTACGGATTGATTTTGATCATAGTTGGCAATTGATACTCTCCTCCTATTAATTCTTATTTTTTTGAGGTAATTTTTTGCTAAAATCAACTCTTCACTTCCTCTTATATGTGACTATATTATTGTTTTTATCTAATGTATCTTCTTTTGTGTTATTTATGGCCATACAAAATAAGTACAATCCATTTTTATGCAAGATATTTCTAACATTATACGATTTTACTATTTATCTATGTTTTATCTCTATTTTTCTATTATATCTTTTTAATTAGGCTCTTCTGCAATAAAATATTTTATTTCTTCTAGTAACACGACAATGTGTTGCAATATCGCACTTATTCCACTCAACATCTAGGCATATGTACAACTAAGTCAGACACCATTCATAGTTGCAAATCAATGCAATCTAGATTGGGATTATTTCACCACCACTAAGTACTATCACTGTGAGAACTTGAAGCTTAATTTCTCACGATTAACTCACCATGCTAAACTAGCCACCTGTGATGAAAGAGATTTCATGAGACGAGTGGAATCACAACACATCATTCGATCACTTCCACCGGATCTAATGCCCGAGGCTAGAGTCAACGTTTTTTTCTTCGAATGATGCAATGCTCTAACACCTGAATGTGTGCTTCGATATTCGGGTCATACATCTCATCGCCTTTAGAAGAGCAAACCTGCTACAATTGCCCTGGCTTCTACCGCTGACCCCGCTGACCCCCACACTGTGAAGAATAAGGTGTCCTTGAAAACAAAGAACCAAGACTCATTCTCGAGGAACTATCGGAACAAATAAACTTGCTCAGAAACGAGGCACGATGGAACAATCCGGATGGCCCTAGAGACCCTTCCGGTGCAAATGGAATCAGATGTCGAACGTATCCTTGCAGCATATGTGATGCCCTCGGAAAAGTGATATGATGGGCAATTAATATGCAGAAGTAGCGTTCACTTTTCGGAACAGGTTCAGTATCCTAAAACACTCTTCGGAAGCTTGAGCAATGCTTCAACATCTGCCGCTTCACCTGAAAATTTTCGTGCGAACAAGAAACAGAGTGAATGTGGTCGTCCGTTGTACACGCATGTCTGCATTGTGTGGTTGAAGTCATCTGATGAGTCCATGTATTGCCCATCCAGATTCTCGGTCCTATTCTGTATCTTCTTGAATAGCTCGGGGTTTATCAGCCCAGCGTAGTGATTCTGGGGCGACCATCCGTGATTAGGATTGGACCAGTCAGAGTAAGTGACTGACCGATTTGCTATGCCCTGCACGAGTAGCAAATATTACCGTATTAATCACCCGGTTACCATAGATCGAACCAATGAACCTATACTCTTATAACGGCTCTAAATGTTCTCGAAGTCTTTAAGAATCTTTAATAGAGCAATTTCTAGGATGTTTGCCCTATCTCCAGGTTAGCAGATTTTCAGGCATTCACCCAATGAGGGTGGTGAGAAAGGTCGAGGGGGGGGGCAACACAATGACGGTGTACGAGAAACGATGAGAATTGTGAAAACAACACATAATCTCACCCAGTAGTACCCTGGCGGAGTACCATACTCATACTTCCGAAACAATGCTCCTATTAGGTATAGCAGATTCTCTCAATCATAGTATGAATCTAGCCTCCTCTAGAAAAGAAAGTTATCTCAACTGAATGCAACGCCAACTGTCATATGAACCTCATGACACTCGCAACTACTGTGAAGCTGACACTCATCCAGCACTGAGCATATGAGCAAGATGGTACCAAGGATTTATAGGGTTCAAGGTGTAGGAGCTACGACGTTAACTTTTGTCGCATGAATCTCTGAGATCTTGGAGATCAGCCAGAACCATAGTAATTGTTCATGAGTTCCACTAGAGTGCCACACTATCCTGAAACTTATAAATAGACTGATGAAATGAGTTTGACTATTCCTCGTCAAGGTAAATGACACGAGGAAGGCCTAATAGAGAGAAGCTGCATGGAACGGCAGCTTCAACTGTTGCACTGGATACACATCGCGTCGTTCCACAGACTGTCTCTGTCCACCGAAGACCTCGGGTTTCGTTCATACATGCACTTTTTCAACGCTTGAAGAGATTTGACCAAGATCTAGTTCAAAGCAGTTGGAGACTGTTGCAAAATGAATTAAAGTTTGCAGCACATGGTTTTTGACCCAGCGCTTTTGTTTGATATATTTCTCACCTTGGGATCTAAGGTATGGAGCAGAGTTTGTATGTACTGCTCATCAAGAGTGCAGTCGTTTCGGCAGTCCGCTTTGAATTTGCGGTAAAACGTGACGTCACCAACCACCATTCCAGCGTGGCGACGGTGCATTGACATCCATAGCTCACCCTTGCGAAGCTGCGACATCTTGAATACGGGCCTAGTCTCCCAATGCTTGTACCTGGAGGAAATCAGAGAACGTAACCACAAATCATCAGTAATCTGCAGAGATTGGTAAGGTAAACTCCAATAGAATGGAGCTGAGATGAATTCAAGCTTTGACAAACGAAATGATTGTTTCTAATGAAATCAACCTCTGAAGAGGTGAAAAGGCTTCAACGAAGCTCGTTGTAGAATTCATATAATAGTCGTAGATATACGGGAAGCTCCGAACTGGCATGCACGCTTCAGAGACGAGGGCAAACCACATGTTGGCTCTGTTCGAATCCAGCAAGGCAAAGGCCAGCAACCTGCGCACAACGTCAACAAGACTGATATCGAAACGCCTCACTTCTTTCGTTGAGATGGACCTGTTGTAGAAGACGGATGTATTCGGAAATTGGTCAATCCACAAACTGGGGTGCGTGTAAATGGAATAGGAATCCTCATCCGCGTCTGCAAAGAAACGCTCCCAAAGAGGCTCAAGTGGGATCTTCTGCCGAAGAATGAACAAAAATGCAATTTTGGGGTTTCCGTCGGGAAGTGGCTTAGTCGATTCGTCCTGCGCAGCGTGGAGCAGCTCGGAATCCTCCACCGCAACCTTGAAATACTTATCCACGTCTAAATCACGTGCGCTGCTTCCAGGTTTCACGTAGTCTTTGCAGGGAAGAAAGGAATTTTGAAACGTTGTTTGAGGTAACCGAATAGTTCGATTAGTCGCTGCAATTCCAGAATAGGTGCAATTTTGACACTCCGCTGCACCAGTGAGTCGACCTACGGAGAGGTCGACGGCGATGAGATTTGGCTGTGAGTCCAGCAAAAACTTGAAAAACACGATGGAGCCAATCAAAAGGGCCACAACGCCCCCGCGTGTGAGCCACAAGTCCTGCTGGGTCTTGAAAAATCCCATGGGGCCGGGTTTAGACGGGACGGCAATGGTTGTCATTCTAGACGGTTACACGCCCTGATTCAGGCCGACTAAGTTGAGCGAAATTGGTTTACAAATATCTTATCCTGGATCTCATGTCGAGTGCGCGATTGTGCACAAGGGAGTCTACAGAAGTACGGACAGAGATGGGAATCCTCACAATCCATGACACCTCCTGAAATCATCGCGCCATATTGAAACTCCGTGTAGACTTACAGCACAATTTAATACTTAAGTGATGAAGGATTAGAGGTATCCGGACTCTCACCTTCGAAGGTGAAAATTCAGGGGATAATAGGAGGGAAGAAAGAAATAGAGGAATGAAGAAAGGAGCAGCAAAAGCGCACCGCTTACAGACAACAAATTCACCTTTTCACGTTGTAACAGAATGCTCCAGACCTTTTGTTCACGAACCTCAGGGTTCGCTCAACCAATTATGACCTACACGAACATACAGACTTCACATAACGAGTGAGAGCCACTCGGAGGGTATAAGCTGAGTTTGACACATCCTGCCACCCTATGAACCAGCCAGTTCCTCACGACTAAATACTAGATCCTTGAAACGATCCAAGCAGAAGAAAAGTGACACCAAACAGCTTGCTGTGGTCAGGTCCGCCAGGTACCGCGTTAAACATTAAGATAAAAAGGATCGGAATATAAATCATCATCCAACAAAGAGTTGCAGTGATCGAAGCCCACAGCCACCCTCGACCACAACTTTTGCTCATCAGCAAAGTATCAAGTGACATGTGTAGATTGATCAAAGTTAAAACACCCATTTATTCAATTCACGAAAGTCCCAAAGGCTTACTTTCAAGCCCATGCTCTTCTGGCATCCTTACTAATATGAGGAAAAAGCTTTTGCAACGTTTTCCTCATTTGTTTCAAATATCATGTTTCAAGAGTCAAAATTTTATTATTTGAAGTTTTTCTTTTACGAATCAAAAGATACAGTACTAAAATACAAATAAAATAAAATACATAAATGAAAAGTTGTAAAAAGAGGTAGACAAGAAAAAAATGGCCTAATAATGCTATAAATAAGCTTAAAATGACATTTGTAAAATAACTAAAAATACACATCTCTCTTTAAAAACCAAATTCCATAAAATCAAAATAAACATAGAAAGTTTACAAAGAGTGAGTGCTACAACTATAGAACAATAAATCTTTGATAGAGACAAAATATTTATATGTTTCTGAAAACATATACCTCTTTTTTAACGAACCAAACCTTAAACTCTAAATCATATGGACTCCAGCAGCAGATTATTTTTCTTTTAAACAGAATGCAGTTTTTCCAACAAAATTTTATCTTTTACCATGAGAGCAAAGACTTCAATGCTTGAATTGGATAAAATAATCTAGTTTAACCACATGTCTCAAATGGTAGAATACTAAATCTTCCTACACTTACTATCATCCAAAAACAAAAACGGGTATAAGTTTTTACTTGCTATTCTTCCAACTAGCTGCATATTTGGATTTAAAATAAATAAATAAATAAATAAAAATTGTCTTCTCTTTTCTTAAAGAAATCAGCAGTAAATTTTTTTTTGAATTGCCATAAAATATAAGTAGAAAAATTCCAATTCCTTCGCCAAAATTTGGATACATTTCAGACTACAAAAACAAATCAATAATTCAAAAAAAATAGTACATCAAGTACTATTAAAAGTATGCATCAAAAAACCTTTAAGTTGTTTTTAATGTATAGTTTTGCATTGAGACTACTTTTCAAAATTGTGAGGTGACAAATATTTTGCAAGCATTTAGCTTTGTTTCATTGAAATAGATGCAAGATTTCATTTTAAATCTGACAGGCAAGGGTTTTTCTGTAAATAGAATATTTTCAAGACTATACATTAATTTTATCACATAATCATTTTGGAGAAGTATTGACTTTGGTTTAAAATTTTTGAGAGTATTAAATGTAGCCGATGCTCTCTATGCTATTTACTATAGTCTACAATAAATATAGTAGCTAAAATATTTGGAATTTAGTGGGAAAAAACTCTTTATCTTCTCTCCTTCTCTTTGTATATAGATGATAATCATATCAATAGACTCACTCTTGTGTATGTGAGTTTTTTATGTGTGTGTACACATTACTTTTAATTACTCTTTTCTCTCTCTCTCTCTAAAACATTCTCAATATATTATGAGCACGATTGCTCATGTGCACTAGTCTTGATTCTTAAAAACTTATGTGTATTTTATCTTCCATTTTTCTTTCTCTATCTATGTTGCTCAGTATGCTATTGATGTTGTTGTATTGTGCTGCTATTGTTGTTATGTTGTGTTATATTGCTGCTATGCTGTTGCTGCTACCACTACTGTATTGTTGTTCTACCACACCCTGCCACTGTCTATTGCACCTTATTACCAACTTCTGCATCCTATTGCTATCTGCTCCACCTTGCCATCAACTACTGCATCCTAATGCCGTTTACCACACCTTGCCATCAACTACCACACCTTCTCGCCATTTTTTGGATCCTGCCTCTCACTACCTTATATTGCCACTAAGCTGTCGTGCCTTGCTGCAGTCCATTATAGATCCTTATTTGTATGAGAAATATATATATATTTAAGTTTTTAACATTTTTGATTTCAAGTTCAACTTTATCATTGTATTTGGCTTTACATTTCAAGGTACATTTTACTCAATCTTTTCTATTTGATCTTGTATTTTTGTTCACAGATTTATTTATAATGAGTGCTTCAACATCTTCAACTGCCTCTACTATGTTTCCAACTATTACCACTACATCCCAACATTTTTAAGCTCTTCTATTTCCACCATTGGCTATTGATGGAAACAATTATCTATTATGGGCAAAAAGGACAAAAATAAATTTATTTGCAGAACAACTCTCAGATGCAATTCTGTTTGAAGAATCTCTTAATGTAAGTACTTCAATTTCTTTTTCTATCCATTGGAAAGTACTTCTTCTCCTTCATTGTCATCTTGTACTTGCATTTTATATCAATATTTAGAATTGGAAGTTCCAACTAAGCTATAAGAGAATCTTAAATCCAAGTTTGATCATCAAAAGACCATTTTCTTTCTACATACACGTCATGATTGGATACATTTATGTGTCTTAAATTTTCTAAATTTAAATACTTTCAATAGTGAAATATATTGTATTATCTCAAAACTACAGTTATGTGGACAAAGCATCTATGAAAAAGAAATGATTGAAAAAACTCTCTCTATATTTTCTCACGCATCTGTTGTGTATACACAACAATATAGGAATATGAAATTTTAAAGTCATCTTGATCTCATATCCTATCTATTTTTTGTGGAGAAACAAAATGAACTACTTTTATATAATGCAAAAGCTCATCCTATTAAAACCACGATTTCAGAATCTCATGCACTTAATATTTTAAAATCTAAGAAAAAACTATACAAATATAAAAAAAAAAATGCTCATAAACACCAGATCAGTCATAGTTGTGACCATTACTGTCAATATGGAAAGAATAAACATTCTACAAGTAATTACAATAAAAAATAATAATCAGATATGGATTCTTTTCATAAATATGGGATGATTGGACATTTGGCACATACATGCTATATTTCAAAATACTTTGTTAAAATATTTCAAGAAAATAAGAAACTTTGAGTTGAGGCACAAGAAGTTTATACCATAGATGTGTCCATGGAATCAATTCGTGTCAATGATTTAGAAGCTTATATGAAAAAAAAAACCTCTAATGATGAGTCAAATAAAATACTCATTAATTTTGCAATAACACATACTATTTTATGGAATAGATAATTTTTTATTAAAAAATCTTCAACTTGGTAAATTAGAAATTAGATGACTATGGCTGGGACGAATGCATTTCATTTTCAAGAAGAAATAGCAATAGTAAAATTGCTAATGGATTCCATCATAAAATATAAATATGTAATGTTTGCACCCTCAGCACCTCAAAGTCTGATCAGTTATTGAGATGTGCATGCCAATGGTTATCACCTCTCAACCACAATTTTAGATAAGCAGGAGGTTTTGGTTCTTGAACAGAACCATAAAGTTATAAAAAAGCCTTTCTTATGACAAATGGTTTATACCGGATTGCAATTCAGCCTCCTTTTATATTTAATTTTGTGTCATCTATCATAGAGAGTCATGTTTTTCTATGGCATGGATAATCAGGACATCTAAGATCTACATTATTTTGAAAGATAATTCCATATATAACTGAGCATAATTTAAGACCTATAGATACAAATTCTATAGAATAATGTCGTACATGTGAGCAAGGCAAGATGATTGTTTGGCCTTCAATTTGAAAACTCCCATGAGAGTTACCACCAATGCTCGAAAGACTGTTTGGTAATATTTGTGATTCTATTAATCCAATATCTAAACCATTTCATTATTTTTTGGTCCTTGCTGAAGCATCAAGCAAACAATCACATGTTTCATTATTATCAATCCAAAATATGGTATTTGCTAATCTTATGTCTATGCTAATTTATTTTTAAGCACATTTTCCTAATTATCTTATCAAAACATTGTGTATGATTGATGCAAAAGATTTTGCATCAAAGTCTTTTGAAGACTATTGTATTGGTATAGGGATTAAGTTGATATATTGTGTTCCATATGAACATGCTCAAAATGGACTTGTAGAGTCATTTATAAAGCATATACAACTCATTACTCGACCACTCTTTCTTCAGATAAATTTATATGCATCTATGTGGAATCATCCAATTTTCTATGTTGCAATATTAATATGCCTCCATCCTTCTTCTCTTGAAATTGTTACACTAAAAGAGCTCATTTTAGATGGTGTTCCAAATGTATTTCATTTATGGGTATTTGACTTCCATACTTGGATTCTAGGAGCAAAACCTCAATGGCATACTAGTAAAGCTCATCGACGAGATGGCAGATATGTTGGTTTTGATTCATCAAGCATTATATGTATTGTTGATCCATCAACTTGCACATTATTATATACATGTTTTTAAAATTGTCGTTTTAAACAGAATATATTTCCATTTCTTCAAAGAGGAATATTTAATCAACAAAGAAATATAGTACTTGTATTTGAAGTACTAGAAACATTTATAATGAAACTTGATCCTAAAACATCTTTAGCTGAAACTAAAGTTGCCAAGATTTTGTATCTAAAATGGATTGCAGATGAAATACTTGATGGCTTCAATGATGCGCCTTGGATTACAAGAGTTCCAATTAATGAGGCTCAAAAGAAACTTGCTCAAATTGCAATACCACTAACTAATATACCTCAAGTTAAAACATCAAAAATTAAAAGGATTTGTAGATCAAATAACCAACCATGAAAGAAGGCTATAACATGTAGTGATTCTGCTTTTGTTTCTATCAAAGTTCTTATTAAATCTACGAGACCATCAATTAATGATGATATGACCATGCAAATTATACCTTCACCTCATGCAATAGAAAATCTTGAAATTAAGAAAAATAAAACCAAGTTGAATATAGAATTATCTATTTTATATTATATTACAAATGATATTTGAGATAGACCATCTATTATAATAGATGAATCATTTGCATTTATAATTGCCAAAGCTCTTTGTTAAAAGAAAGAGGACCTTGAACTTCAAAGTATCGA